GATAATAGTCACTTCGAAGAGAGCTTTGGTGTAAGGCAGTTTTATTCACCCCTAAGAAGAATTTTTCTGAATAAATAAAATAGATTCAACTACTGATGTAAACAGGAGGGTTTCGCGCGAAATATCTAGAAAAAGGTTCTAGAAATAGTCAACATTTCAAATGCGACAAATCTATCCAATGATAGCTGGCTCAATTTCAGTTATACTTGCACATTTCCACTTGGCAGTCAACACGGTAAGTTGTTCATCTTCTTCGGTGTCTCCCTCTTGGATCTTTTCCTCCAAAACGTATTCCCCGTGTTGTTCACAACCGATATCAAACCGATATTTGCCCACGCCCTGGAGGTTATCATCCAAGAAATTTCCCATGTATCTGTGATTGGAGTGAACGAGTTCTCCCGTGCCGTCACGCTTGCCGTGTACCCACGATCCTTTGTACTTGGTCCCAGTCGCTGAGTACGTGTACACGCCCTGGCCGTGCCTCTGATGCTCGTACCAGTCACCCTCGTAAGTGTCCCCATTCACGTAGTAGTAAATCCCGTGGCCATTTCTCCGATCTTCCACAAAGCCACCCTCGTATCGCGAGCCGTCTGGGTACCAAAACGTGCCCTGGCCGTGCTTTTTGCCTTTGACATACTCGCCGACATATTTGGCACCGTTCTTGAAGCGGTACGTACCATTGCCGTGTCTTTTTCCGTGTTCGTACTGCCCTTCGTACGTATCTCCGTTTGGCAGGGTGGCTTTACCGTAGCCATGGCGTTCTTCATTCTCGTTTCGATCACCATCGTACTCCTACAGAAATGAATTAAGAAAATAAAACGTAATACAGTAATCAGATTCGTCGAATGACCTTTGAACTGTATGTGGCGCTCATTTTTAGAAGCTCTGAGGGAAGGGTGGTCTGGAAAGTTTATGTCATAAAACTCCCCATGGGATATCCTGCTCACAGCGAGAGGAAGACCCTTTCGGGGAGCAGGATATTTGAACCGGCCGGGAGCCGGATATCTGAACCGTGGGGTCCCTTAACTAGAGTTCCAAGTTCATCACGTTAGTGAAGGCCTGACTTAATTTCGCTCCGTAAGAAACCAAAAGATTACGTAACATGTCGTTAAGCTTAAATGTCCTTCTTCAATCTCAAAGGGGTAACCACAAGCGTCAAACAGTAAGCAATCATGCGTAGAAACAAACCACTTCACAAGCTACAAGAGATATTTCATGATAAACTTGAGATGCTGAATCGGCTGAAATGTATCCTCATTCATTCACATGCTCCGCTCTTATCTGTCGATTATCGTTTTAATCATCGCGAGAGAAAGATCACATACAGTTTCTTAGAAAAGCTTATAAGTCAATTGACAATTTTAATAGTTTTATAAAATATTAGCCATAATTATGTGCCTCTACGAGCAACAAGAAAAATGTACTTTACAAAAAGTGTCATCGGTAAAAATCACTTGAAAATCCCTTGTACATCGATCACTTTAACATGAAAGCGAGTAAAAGCATAGCAGTGTAATTTGAAAAGCTTTCAGTTCGAGCGTCTCAACTAAGTTGACGCTTGGTACAGATTAACATCCGCTGAGGAGGGCAAAGCTATTGAGAGAGTTTAGTGGGTGGCTGTATTTGTTTATCAACATCGCTGTGGTATGTTGACTTTGACTGAAGCCAATTACTTTGCAAATTAAGTATGCACAAATCGCTGTTCCCTGCCGGGATATTTTTTTTGCATATTTAGTTATGACTGAAGAATGGCTAACTCGGCTGTGAAATAGTCTTTCGTCAAAGTTTTCTTCCTTTGATTAAAAGAGAGACTGAAAATTGCACAGAACTAAATGATACTTTCTTAGCTTAGATTGTCAGTCGACAATGAAAACCATAAGCTGTCAAATACTTATAATTTAGCGATCGATGCTGTCATTTCGATAAAATTGAAATGAAAGTTCAAAGACTTGACAGTTGACATTCGCAAGGTTTGCGTCGATTAAAGTTTATCAGTTTCAACACATTACGAAATTTCGGAGATTTAAGAACGAAAAGAGAGAAAGAAGACTGATAAAGGACGGAGCAAATTTTAGGCAAATAGAGTGACAGCTTTTGACAATTCAATTTTCGCATATTAACCGAAAAAATTGCCGTTTAAACCCGCTCTTACTTACCCCAAGATTGATGCCTTCATCTTCTTCGAATTCTTCCGATCCAATATCAGACATGTTGATCTATGTGAGGAAAGTAAACGGCAAGGTCTTGTTCGTGTTAAAAGCACGGCAAATATTAGTTCGATTTGTGTTTGCAGCGGCTCATTGTATCTTGAGTTGCCCTAGCAACCATTTGAATAAAGTCGAATTTGAAAGTCAAATGCGGTTCTTTGCCTCCAATAGGGAGGCGGTCTAAGTCCAAACTAACCGATGGTTACCTTTTGTACGTGACAATTCGAAAGATTGCAAACCTGTTGTGGAATCGAAACAGCAGGCTCAAGGAACTGGTATTACTGGCATTGACCATTTTATCGAACTTCGCTTTCACAAAAAAAGGTACTTTCAAATTCTGCTCATTTTGAAATATTCATATATGTACAGGAAACCAAGAGAAAGTAATGTCCCATAATTCTCTCTTGGGGAAACCTGATCATTCTCTCCTCCGGCGTCAGGCATTTACCATACATTTATAAAAGAAGGAAGAAAGGATTACCGTTTCCAGAGACGGAGGTTGGAAATAAGGGAGTTTGTAGATAGAAGTTTGGCTGGTATGGGTTGTATGACTTCTTTATTTACTCACTAGCTAATACCTTAAAAAAAATTGTGATGATCCGTGAGTAGAGGGCATATATTCACTAGGGAAAGAGGGGGAGGTGATCGTGGTAGGGGAAGTTACATCGACGAGGGGGCTCATCACATACCAAGCGAGGTTTGTTTCGCTTTGTTTCTCTTTTGGAATCGGAGTAACTGAATCCGCAAGATTAGGCAACGTTTCAAAACCATCTCGAGATGTTTTGCTTTCATATGTAAAACAAAAGTGTCACAACTTTCACAAATAAACCGTGACATGTTGTTCATGACCACGAGAAAAAAAAAAGGTTATGGAATTTCACAATTTTTCGTCATGCCTAGGGTGTCTTTGTTGACTTGAAGGGTTTTAACCGCCAATAACTGTCTGTAGAAACATAACCGCAAGTTTTTCAGCTTAAGTTTGTTAACAATAGGTCCATGAAGTCGATCTGAAACAGTTTACCTATGTTTTTTGGCCTTGCACGGAGCAGGAAAACAAACGGATTTTGTCTGAGTGGATCAGTCATGGCTTAAAAGCCTTGGCAGCACACCCTTAGAAACCCCTGCCGCTCCGCCTTGCCCCTCCCCCAGGTCCGTAGACTTCGCTCTTTACTTTCTTTCCCGCTAAGTTTGTGCGATATCAGAATATTATTGTTTTACTCATTAGAACCTTCTAAACGTTGTGATACAACTGTAGTCCAAAGAGCACGAGTACTGCAGTCGCCTTCTTATGAGCTTCCGCTCCTATGTTTTTATTTGCTTTTTAATCGCATATTTCATCAAAGTAAATATCACTTTTCATTCCGTAGATACGTCATATCAACCGCTCACGAGAGACGACTTTTCTGTGGGTTGCCGTTACGCGTGAAATACACGATGCTTCCTAAATGGCTGTTTCTGCTCCTTTCACTTTATTTCGCTGTGCAGATGGAAGCTGGATCGAGTTTGGGTAAGAGTCTTTATCAGTGCTTTAAGATCAAGCTCTTATGATGCGTGCGACACAAATATATTATAAAAGAAGACAGCCTTGACACCAACGTCATGCCAATTCTCGGCCAATCTTTTCCTCAAGATTCGACTTAAACTTCCCCTAATTAAGTTTTTCAGTGTTCCTATTGAGCAAATGGCTGTGTCATTCCCTTTTCATTCGCTCTAACTGAAGTTCATCGCAGAAAATTTGCCATCTCCTTTGATTTTTTCGGATGTCTTCAATCGACCAATAGCCTGCGTGTCGGCGTTAAGGATTCAAGTCCGAGGAATGTTTTGATTTCGCTTATGGTTTGTATGTTTGATTTCAACATTTTGATCTTAAACTGAATGTTTCATCGTCTTCGAAGCAATTTCATGTCACTCTGGGCAATTTTCCGCTTTCATCGTTTCCTTAGCATTTTTTTTATGCGCACGCCTTTTGCGTCGCACAGCTAAAGCTGTGTTGTGTTCTTTTCCCTGTGAACGGCCACGAAAATTCAGACTTAATTTCTTGACCCTTACGACACCACAAACGATTATCGCCTTTTTCCGAAAAGCTTCGATCAGATACTGATTAACGATATGCAGTAAAATGATCACAGGCTGTACACCGCCGCGAAAATTAAAACCTGTTTTCTTGACCTTCTCAGCGCCGTCCAATTCCCAAATGAGAAGGGATTGACGAGATTCAGGAAAATAATCACAACCTCGTTAATTTGGTTAGTTCTAGTTTTTAAATTATAAATCAACGAATAAATCGATTTCGAAGAATTATTTTTATTAATATCGTGTCGAAATGGGATGTGTTCGTTGTATGGTTTTAAAGAAACCTCGAAGACAAGATACTTGAGGTAATTTCATTTTCGTTGCCATTGTGGGAACTGTCGCTGGGGTCAGAAAAATTATAGTCACTCAATCACGCCGTGTAAGTGTCACATAATCATAGCGTCACGGGATAAGAAAGTTCAAATTAATAGACAGGAAACTACCTAGGAATTAGCCATTTATCATCTTTAGACGTACATTCTTTATACTGTCTTGGAGAAAAAGAAAATCACTGCGTCAATATGCTATTCTTCAAAGGTCAGCGTGGGTATGATTGATGATGGCTAATTTTTAGAGGGGAGGGGAAGGGGGAGGGGCACTTGAATAAAGTGTGGGTGGGGTACCAGTGTGTCATGGAAGACCTTAGAACTTTGATCATCCGTTCATTTTGCCATTCTGTTTAAGACATTAAGTTTTATAAATTGTGGCATATCGACCTTAGGCAGCTAAGGCGAGCACATTGATCGAAGAATAATTTTTATAGCTAAATGTAAAAACAATTCCGTAAGGACCACACACCGTCAAGTTGACAAGCAGTTCAGAGCTTCCGATCCTTCAAGAGGGTAATAGTAAATTGATCACGTGCTCTTAGATCGAATATGGCATTTTATCATCGCAATATCCCCTACTCGACCGGCCTTCGAGCAGGCCCCTGATATTTTTAGCGCTGCAGCACCTGCGGTTCTTCACCTGCGGCCTTGAGCAAGAGGGTCTTAATAGGTTTAACCAATAACCGTAAAACGACCAAAAAATTTATACGGTAGGCGTAAAAATTGACAAATTTTAACCTTTAGTCGTAAACAATGTTAACCGTTAAAAACAAAATCTAGTACAAAAATGGCACGCGTTAGCCGTACAATGGCCACAATTCTAACCGTTAGCCG